CTGTTATGGTAATGTTTACGTAGGCATCATTTCAAAATTAATATATAGTACTATAAATAAAAAAGGTAGAACTATTTCCTTGAAGGTTTTTGAAAATAAATAAAGTAGAACTAATTTTCGTTACTATTTTTTTGCCTATTGCTNATGCATGCAGTGGATCATCTCGTCAACAATGCTGGAATCACCTCTTTGTGCTCTATAAATGATGTGACGGACATTACGAAGTTTACATCTGTTATGGTAATGTTTACGTAGGCATCATTTCAAAATTAATATATAGTACTATAAATAAAAAGGTAGAACTATTTCCTTGAAGGTTTTTGAAAATAAATAAAGTAGAACTAATTTTCGTTACTATTTTTTTGCCTATTGCATGATATGGTTTGGGATAAAAGGATATCAACTTCTGGGGATCTGTTTACCCAACTTACTTTGCAATTCCTCATCTGAAGAAGACAAGAGGGAAGGTGTTTGTCAATTCTTCATCCGTGGCAATTTTGCACCCGCCATCTTTAAGCTTCTATACTGTAAGAAACTACTTTTAGTTTTATTTATACCCCTTAATTAATTAATTCTTCTCTTTAATTATATTGTTGTTATGTTAATTAATTGTATTGGTTTTGCAGGCGAGTAAAGCTGCATTAATAGGCTTTTACGAGACCATGAGACTTGAATTGGCTCCGGAAATCTCAATTACCATTGCAACGTTAGGATTTACTGATTCGGAAATAACACGAGGAAAGCACCTAAAAGATGGGGTCTTGCAAGTTGAATCAGAATTAGCTAATGTAAGATAACCAACCATTAATTTCGCTGTTTATTTTCTCAATTTATATGGCGGTTTAGTTGGTTAACAACTTGAAGGATGGGCTTACAAGTTACAATCCCTGTTATTTATAAGCCTACTATCTAGTACATGCACAACTCTGTCTATATAATTTAGGTAAACTGACCACCAAAAGTTTCAAATTTTCCTTCCAGATTCTTAATTTACTAATGCACTGACATCTGATTATTAATTTTCCCCCAGTCTAACACTTCTATGTTTCTTAAAGTTATAAACATTAACACTATAAAAGAATTTTTATGCAAGCAGTAAATTTTTAAGTTTATTACTAATCAGTGTTCAAATCGTATCTCCTCGTTTATTTTTATTTGAAGAATGTTGTTGTTCTCCCAGTTATCAGTTCTAGTGACTGTGCAAAATCAATTGTAAGTGCAATATGCCGGAAAAAGAGATATATTACAGAGCCAAAATATTTTTGGGTGCTGTTTTTCGCGAAAACTGTGTGCCCTCGAGCGTTTGAATGGTTTAATCGTACATTTATGTCGAAGTTGTGTACCGGTGCTTTACAATCACAAGCCAAGAAAGCATAAAGAAGTGGAAAAAGAGGAGTGGATATCTAACTGATGTTATTGCTCTTATTATGTTAAGTAGCTGGGTTAGCTTGCGACTATATTTATGTTACTGTAAACTTTTCTACGAAGATTTTACTCTTTTTATCATGATCAAAAGTGAACCCTTTGTTTACCCTTAAAATTGAATAACAATTAAATTTATAATGTGGCTCTAAGGATATGTGATTTCACTTAATACCAATTGATAAATATGAGGATTAATAATAGAAATGAACTATAAAGTAAAGCAAACCGGTGTAAGAAATGAACTCAGCCCTCGATATTGATACCCTCGAACTGGTTGATGCAAGAACAATTAAAATATAACAAGCTGATGAACAATAGTATAAACGAGAAGGAGAATTATATTACTTTGATCTCAGTGAACCGTGCTCTACAAATGATTAGAACCCCCCTTTATATAGTAGAGGAATCCCACTTATGGTGTGATTCTAATTACTGAAGAAAATCTCATGATTAGCTAATTAAGCGTTTCTGATTTAATCCGTTCCGAGATTCGCCATGATCCTCGACCATTCACTGAGATTTATGCCATGATCATCGACCAGTCACGGATATCTCGCCTTTCCGTTATTATGCTACCTTCAATCTTGCTTGATGTCTGTCTTATTTGGCTTCGATCGTTACTAGCCTCGATCTCGATAGGTACTTCGGTTCTGAACTCGGTACCTTGTCCTCGTGACTTAGTCTGTTCCGTTACGAGGCCATCCTTCGATGCAGTCTCCCGATCTCGGTCAAATAGTAAAATCGGGTGGGCTGATTTTATCCGTATACAGATAGTCCCCTCATTTTTTTGGAGTGTAATGACAAGAAACGAATTGAGCCTTCAATTTTTCTACCTCGGCCTATCATGACGTCATCCTCGTGATGTAAGCGACGGAAGTGACTGAAACGTCCCGTCTGTACAGTTACCAAGGCATTAGATGTGCGTCAATCGATAGTCGGCCATCGCCAATTTTGAACCGTCGTTGTGAAATCTATAAATAGCTCCTCTCTTCACCATTTCGAACTTTTCAATCTCCAAAGCTTTTTACATCTTCTAAGTTCTTCATCTGCAAATCTACGATTTTCACTACTAACCTCTTCTTAGAAAATCAAATCTTATCATCTCCATCTATTTTTAACTTCAAATCCAAATGGCGAAAACATCAAAAACTGTTCCTCAAAAGCAAAACGCTTCTTCATCGCAGCCGGCCGGAGCCGTGCCCTGAGGAGTGAGTTTTCGGGGGGTACGTCCTCACCTCCGACTTTAAGACCGATAAAGTCTCGTCGATTCCCGGTCGATGCGAGCCAGTGTCGAGGTATATATGCTCGATAACTGAGGGATACCTCAAGCAGGTAAAGAAAGACTGAAACTGGGAGGGCAAAGAGGTGGTGTTCCTGACCCCCGAAGAGGACATCACCACCCATGTGGAAGGGTTTCTAAATGTTTACACTTACCCATTCTTCCTTTTGGCTAATTGTTATTCTGCTCCGATTCTTCGTAAGCAAAGTCGAGGGGATGCCTTTCACCCTTGACCACCTCATCAGGTTGTACAGCCCCTGCCTCTATCGAGGGGGGTTAATAAATCTCCAACGCCAGGCTACCAAAGTGCTGTTCTCGAGCATAGACGAGGACAAGGACCGAGGCTGGATGGGCCGGTTCGTTCGGGTGAGGACTTCCGACTTAATCCCGGTCGAAAAGATGCCATTTCCCGAGAAATGGAATATGAAGCGTAAGTACAATCCCACTGTTAGCTCCTCTTTATTGCTTTGCTCTTTTGCTTCATCTCATCGAAATCCTTTTCCGTGATGTAGCGGTCGCTTGGATGCCCGGTGCAATTCCTAACCTTAAGAGCTGGGTTCAGGACAATGCCTCGACCTCTACGTATGCCAAGCGCTCATGGCGCGATTTATCAAAGGGCTGATGGGAGGCCAAAACTCATGGTAAGGCCCTTTTCCACATCTTTGATGATTTTGTTAAAGCATTTCTTACTCAATTTCCTTTCATATAGGCCTTGGCAAAGATACTGTCATAAGGCCCTTATCTGGTGAGGAGGAGACTTCGATCCCGACACCGAAACCGGCGAAAGACAAAAAGAGGAAAAAGATCTCAACCTCCGATGATCCAGAACCTAAGAAGAAGGCGGCTCATAAGCCAAGGAAGAACATTATCCTCCTGACCGAAGACTCTGTTCGGCGTCTAAGGGATGAAGACGAAGAAGAGGAAGAAGACGACTCCAGGCTGGTGGCCCGAGTGGGAATGAGCACCGAGGCCCCAAAAGCCACTGAATCGGTAAAGAATGTAGAGACTCCGTCTCGAGATGAGGGGGTCTCGGGAAGAGACTTGGGCGAAGTCCCCGAGTCATCGAGGATTGAAGATGCCTCCCACCATAATGAGACAATGGTGGGTACGGCTATAGGGGCTGGTCTCGAGGCCCCTCGAGATGGAGAGAACGCCCAAAGTGATTCACTTGGGGCAATAGAAATTGGAGGCTCCCCGCTGCTCCCCTCGTTTTTCGAGGACATGTTTCAAGAGGCTCGGGCCTTGAAGACCCTCTCCATCGAAGGAGCCTACGAAAGGGAGGATCCCTTCCGTGATTACTTTACTGGGGTCGAAGATGCTACCGGCCTGAGTGACTTGGAGGTCTCAAGGAAGGACTCGGGCAAGGCATCGAGCCTTTTCAACGAAGCACAGCAAACTCTGAATCGGGTAAGCCTTAACTCCCCTTGAGTTCATTTTTCTCTTCCTGTCTAACTTCTTTTATTCTTTCTGCGTAGGCCTCAACGCTTCATCGAGAAGCATTTTCTCGGTTTCAAGATGAGCTGAGTCAGTATGAAGCCGACCTCCGAGGGATCACGGAGGAGAGAAATGCCCTTAGACTTCTCTGTGAGCAAACAAAAGGAGACCAAGGACCTCCGAGCCGAGTTGGTCAAGGCTCACCAAGATCAGACCGACCTGATCAAGCACGTAATGAAAATCTTAAAAGCTCATGGGCTGGATTCGGGAACGGTGGCTAACATTTCAATCTCACAGCTGCAGCAGAAGGTCGAGAGGATCGAGCAGCTCCGCGAGGAGGTCAATATGATGAAGGCGGAGACATTTGGGTGGAAAGAAGGTATGGACCACTTTACTGCAGAAAAAGAGACTACTTTATCCCAATTGTCATCGGCCGAAAGTCAGCTTCGAGGAATGAAGGAGAAAAGCTCAATTCAAGCAAAGAAAATAGAGGAAATTGAGGCTCTGCTGGCTTCTGAACTTGCAAAGGCCAAGTCTGAAGCCAAAAAGGCAAAGGCCGAGGCGGAGGCGATCGTGGCCATCTACTAGGCAGATGCTGAAGCCGCTCAAGTCCAAGTGAGAGAAGCAGCCGAGATCGCTCAAACTCGAGCACATTGGATTGCTGAACTCGCCAAATGCCAATCTCGGAGGGGAACCCTCGAGGAGATCCACGCTCGAGGTTTCGATCTTACTGACGAGATATTAAAAGCTAGAGAGCGTGAAGCTGATGCTGGAGCGCTGGCCTCCTCCGATGATGATGATGACGCCGAGAGCAAGAGCGGGTCCGAGAGTGGGGAGGACCTCGATGGAGAAGAAACTGCCCCCGGAGTAAATTAGGAACCTTAGGATTTTTCACTTTTGATCTTTTGTGTAGGATCCTGATCGGACCTTGTAAATACATCTATATAAAGATCTATTTCCTTTCCGACTTGTCTTTATTTCATTTTCTGCCTTGTGAAAATTTTGTTTCATTCATGCCTTATGAAAATTTTGTTCATAAGTTCGAGGCTTAGGCAATTTAATCGAAGTCGGACTAGTGTAAGTTTTATAATCGAGTGAGTACTTGCTCGAACTCGGAGTAGGGTGACCCTTAGGTTTTAATTAAGTGAGAATGATTTCTCGAACTCAAAAATAAAATGGCCCTTTAGGCTCTTGATTTATGACGATATGGCCATAGTAAAAAGAATGGCTTTCTCCCCCTTTTCGGCTTGAAAAGTTTATTGTTTGATCATATAAAATCTGTTGTGCCCTAGCATGAAATAAGGGATTTGTTCAAGAGTTCGAACGATTCCGTATCTATTAGGGTTTTCAAGGGTCGATATTATCGAGACCTTTTGTTTCGTAATACCTTAGCATAAAATAAAGAATTTGTTCGAGAGTTCGAACAACTTTGTACCCATTAGGGTTTTCAAGGGTCGACATTATCAAGACCCTTAGTAATTCAGCCGAGGGTAGCCTTTTTAACCGGTTTATGAAAATATTTGAAGGCCTGTTTTATAACAAAAATCGGACATCTCCGAACCGTGTTAATTTGGCCGTAGCCTTTAGCTTGGGATTTGCCTTTTGGGCTTGTTTCCCTATTATACTTCGAATTTGTTCGAAGTATCAGTCCCCGAGTGGGGTGGCCGTGGCCTCTAAAATTGAGGGTTGCCCTTTTAAGGTCTTACAATCTCGAGGTTTTAGTAATTCGATCATGTCGATTTTTTGGATGGCAGTCCCCGAGTGCGGGGTCAATTGTTCGAACTTTAGTTTTGACCTGCCCTTAAGCCAATTTCCATAATAGATCATAAACACGCCATTGTAAAGTAAACATTTCTCTAAGGCATGAAATATCTGGCAAGGAAAAATACTTTTTTCAATAGATTAACATGCGTACGTGTTTGCCATTAGGGCTCGAGTAATCTACATGGGCATGGTTTGTTTGACCATTTGACCCTTACAAAATTTACCTATCGAAACCCTGTCGGCACGAAGTATTTTCCTTGTAATTATCCGATGGTGATGCCCCCCAATATTCAAGGTTGATTGTAAAGGAGCCTCGGATACTATCGAATTGCCCTAAGTTAGCACGAACAATGGTAACCTCGTTAAAACCCTCGCCGTAAAAACCTAGTTGGGACAAAAATCGGTCCAAGGGAAAAAGATTGCAACGCGTGCTTTCAGACCTAAGGACTTTGTGTTTGAAGAATCCTTTGGTGTCTTCGATTAAACATCTGTAAATGGTTAGTATAATATAAACGAAAATAGAGAAGGTCGTACCTTAGCATTAATATTGTTTGAGGAGTGATATGTTCCAATTAGTACCGGGTCTCGACCTCACCTAAAGTTCGACAAACATAGT